TGCTGCCATTCAGAGACCAGGAAAGGCTGGAGATTGGGCAGAGAGGAACCTCATCAAGTTCAAAGGCAAGTTCAGGGTCCTGCACCTAGGCAGGAATAACCCCATGCACCAGAGCAGGCTGAGGGTTGACCTGCTGGAAAGCAGCTCTGCCGAGAAGGACCTGGGAGTCCTGGTGGACAAGCTAAGCATGAGCCAGCAATGTGCCCTTGTGTGGCCAAAAAGGCCAATGGTCTCCTGGGTTGCATGAGGCAGAGTGTTGCCAGCAGGTGCAGGGAGGTGATCCTGCCCCTCTCCTCAGCCCTGGGGAGGCCTCACCTGGAGTCCTGTGTCCAGTTCTGGGCTCCCCAGTCCAAGAGAGTCATGGCAGTTCTGGAGAGAGTCCAGTGGAGGGCTACAAAGATGAGGAGGGGACTGGAGCACCTCTCCTATGAAGAAAAGCCGAAAGAGCTGGGCCTGTTCACCATGGAGAAGAGAAGACTGAGAGGCAATCTCATCAATGTGTACAAGTATCCTAAGGGAAGGTGTCGAGAGGATGGGGCCAGACTCTCCTTCAGTGGTGCCCAGCAACAGGACAAGAGGCAATGGGCACAAACTGAAAGAGAGGATGTTCCCTCTGAACCTGAGGAAAAACTTTTTTACTGAGAGGGTGACTGAGCACTGGCACAGGTTGCCCAGAGAGGGTGTGGAGTCTCCTTCCCTGGAGATATTCAAAACCCACCTGGACGGGATCTTGTGGTCTAGATGACCCTGCGCTCTGGTTGACCCTGATTGAGCAGGGGGGTTGGACTAGATGATTTCCAGAGGTCCCTTCCAACCTTGGCCATTCTGCGATCATGTGATTCCGTAAATTAAGAAATTCCTCCACTGTTGTCAGCATAATTATTTTTATAAAACACTATGCCCGCTTGTAAGTGACTTAAGGTCAGGCACAGGATAGAAAAGCAAAAAGGCAAGGTAGTCATAAGTAATTCCGCCTTGGCAAAAGTTCCTTCCTTTTCCAGGAAGGAGTACTCTTCTTTTGCTTTGCAGCTTTTAGCTTTGACCAGCATATTTCTATGGCCATTTAGGATTATAAAACACAGAAGTATTTCTGAGAGCTGTTGTTCTTCTGTCACAACCACTAGGGTACCCAGGGTGACTGACTGCTACCCAGAACAATAGCTTTCAGGGAGGTTTTGAAAGAGTAATACTAAACCTTCTGTTTAACACATCCATATGTCCAAGTAGGCCACAAAGATGCTTTGAAAGAAGCTGCAACAAGTAAAGAGATAAAAGATGTCTCAGGTACAGAAATGCAAGCCTTTCCACCCACTCCCCTTTGCAAATATAAAGGCACAATACAGAACTTTTTTTTTTTTAAGGCAAAGATACAAGTATACCCTTTCCCTCTTCCCACCCCAATTTCAACTGTTTGTGGTTTGAGTAGAAACAGTAAACTTCTGTTGAACACCGGTAGCTCTCTGGCATGACACTTCTGAATAACGTTGTATGATACCAAGGTTAAACGGATTGAATTGTCTTTGCATGCAGCCTGTGACTTTTGAAGAGATATAAAGAACTTGCACTTCATTTTAATAAGTTTCTTCTCCAGGTCAAACAATCACCAAGCAGATCCTCCTGAAGATGTCCTCATGTCCTCAGCTACAGTCCTAATAAATCCTCAGGTAGCTTGCTCTTTGCTACTTCAAGAAAATTCCCTTTTTGTTCAACCTCTCTATGACATTCGAAGAAACATCTCCATGATAGGAGCACATTTTAGCCACTTGTCTACCACAGACTCTTGTGAATGTGTATGCGTTACATTCCTCTGGTGAAGAGTTGACCGGAAGACATTTGGACCCTTCCTAATCTGGTTTCACACTTGTCAGCAATGGCCCGAAACGACAAAACTAACCTGACTGAGACTGGCCCTGCTCTGAGCAGGTGTTCCGTCAACATGATCTCCAGAGACTGCAGCCAGCCTAAACTTTTCTGATTTTAACACACAAGCAGGCAGTCAGGTCCCAACTCAATGCAAACACTGCATTTACAGGCACTAAGCATCTTCGTGGTAGCTTCAGGGTATTATTGGCAATTATTAGCAATAATAATGTCATTCATAGCTGCTATTGGATTTTTTGGCACTACTGTCAGCCTCATTACCTTCTGAAAACATGCTGTGTGTTCAGCCATCAGCTTTCTGTTAGCAGCCCTAGCCTTTTTGACCTCATGCTGTCCTGCAGCTATGGCTGCTATAACGAACTGGACATTTGGGGCTCATTTCTGTCAAGTATCAGCTGTACTCTATTGATTATTTGTCTTGGAAGGAGTTGCTCTTTTGATGATTAGTGTGGACCATTTTCTGACCCCTGTCTAAAGGCAAAATAAGCCCACTCTGCTAAAGCCATGACTACTTTTTTGTTTTCCTTTCTTGACACTGCCTTTCTGCATTGCCTTTTCTTCACTGACTGGGGGATATTTGCGGAAGTATAAGTCTGGACTTCTCAGCATGTTCAGCACTGCACTGGATTTCCTGATGACTGACCTTACAAAGTAATACTTGTTGCAGCAACTCTTTCCATTCCTTTCAGCAGCATGCTGGATATCACACCCTGAACACTATCTGTAGGAGTGTCATGAGGATCCACCAACATGCTAACAGCCTTTGCTTCATCCAACCAAGGGAACAAAGTTGACTGGCAGGTCTGCAGAAACCTCATCAGATGAATGTAGACATGAGGTCCAAAGCACAAACCCTCCACTAGAATTCTGTTCACCGGATTTTCACCCTGTCAGCTTCCCCATGTGTTGCGCAGCCTGCCTCGGGGGTCCAACACACACCTGCAGTGTTATTAGCAGCTACGTGCTCTAGCTGAGCTGCCTCAGGTCACCGCTTACCCTGCCAGCTGCTGCTGGAGCACCAAGATGTTCTCAGAGGCTTGAGCTAAGTTCATCCTTAAGGCATTTAGGACCCTCTCTAAAGTGCCTGAACGAGAAGAAAAGAACCAAGTACAATCTACCTACGCTTCTACTGAGAGCCAGGCAACTGCTTAAGAAGCAGTTGCAGAGAAGCATCTGAAAATCATGGACAAACTGGCCAAACTGCACAAATTTTGTTTCTGCTTCTTACTTTCTGACCACCTCATGAGTTTAATGCACAAATCAAAATAGAGAATGAGCATTTTTTGTCTCATTTTTCATTTTATGCTTCTGCTTTGAGTTTTTTGTCTCATTTTTCATTTTATGCTTTGAGATCATTCTTTGACATCTTTGCAAATAAGACCACAAGGATGCAATGCTATCAAAACTACATTTGCAACTAAGAAACAGGCTGACTGGACACCATATGGCTACTGCTTAGCAGCCTTTACTGTACTATTTCTTCACATGAACTGTTAAGAAACGCATACCAGAGTTAAACTGCAGTTTGAGTGATATCTGCTCACTTTATAGCTTACGCGAACCACAGTCATACACGCATGAGAGAGAGCATGAGGCGAGTACAAGGACAGCACAAGAACGAGGCCTGGCAAAAGACCTACCAGCCCCACTGCGACAAGCCCATACCAATATATAAGCATAGCAGTAACTAGAGTGCATGTAGCTGCTTGTCCTTCTGTCCAGTTACTGTCATGTTCTGTTCAATTCTTCCAAGTGACAGCTTTTTGGTCCGAGTGACATTGTATCCAGTTTTCCCATTTCTCATTACCCAGAGGCCAGCACTAGTTGTCTGCACTTTCTAGTCAGGATCCTTAACAGCCCAGTATTTTGACCATGCACACAATTCTTCTCAAGTTGCAGCAAGGAAAGATGCAACGCAGTGCAAAAGGCAGTGACTTTCCCAAGGGGTCCCCATGCAGAGTGGGGTTAGAGACAGCAGAATTAGTTCCCAACTGCATGTCCTAAAGAAAGATTCTCCCTTTTTGTTCTTGTCCTTTACGCTCCTCCTCCTCTCTAGCTGCCTTCCCTTGGAGATATGCCAGTTCCCTTGGCACATCACAGCCTCCTCAGCCCTTATCTCTGCAGAAGCCCTGATTCTTTTCCTTTCCTTGAGTTTCCTTATCAGAGAGTAATAGAGTTCCACTTCTTCCCCAGGCTACCTCCTGCTTTCTGTACTAGCATTATTTTTCTTCACAGATTTTGTCCTCATTCACTGTATTATGCTCCCACCGGTGACAGCAAAGGAGCTGCAAGTTCAGTTCACTTTCTACCTGGTTCCAGAGATGCCTCTGCAGATGCCACCTCTTTACTGCTTTCAACTACCAGCCTATGCTCACAGCTGAGCACAGGTCCTGTGCCACTCTTCCTCTCAATCTTTTTAGTACTTCTATTCTTATTGCTCCAGGATGTTTAAACACCAGTTACTGATCAGAACCCCACCCAGGCAGGGTTAAAGACAGCTGAAACTATCTCTGGATAAAGTATAAAACTCAGGAACAAATGAACACAGATGGACAAGCAAAAAGAAATAGTGGGCACGCTAGCAGTTTCAGTGTGCCACCCACCTGAGGGACACAACTGGGTAGTAGGTATTAACAGAATCAGTGGAGCACAGGGTAAACAGAAGTATCAAACCAATAAGCATGTCCAGGCTTACAATTTACCTCAGTGACAGACTGAAAAAAGAACAGATGAGAAGAGAACAGAAAGAAAATTTCCTCTCATAAAAGGGGGCTTCAGATGTTTTGTAACAGGAAAGGGGAGATGCGATTCAGCCAATGTACATTCTATGCTTTGCGTCTTCCAAACTATCCAGTTTCAGGCTGGAAAAGCAGCAAAGTCCTGGGTGTCACAGCAGGGTTTGTTATTCCCTCTTTAAGCTTTACAAAAATCTGTGATCATGTCAGAGGCAAAAAGAAAGAAAAAATTCTGGAGGGAAGAAAATCCACCTTTAGCATAAGAATTTGAGCATGTTTGTATTAAGGTCATATTCAATATTTCAATTTAAGTTTTTAGAAAACACTAGAAACCCAATGTAATCTCATAAGAACTACTCCTACAGGAAAAAGTGCTCAGATGAATGCTGATCCCCCCCACGAAACTGTTTGGATTGCAGTCCACACAAGCAATCTAGCACAAGGCAGTACCAAAGAGGGACACAGACTGAACAAACAGGGCTGTATCCAAAACACAGAGAGGCACCATCTATTTAGCTCACAGCAGCAGCAGCAGCTGATTTTCACAGGTTCTACCTGCAGCAGGAAGCAGTCCTCTAAGTAAGGTGGGGCTGGCTAACACATTAGCTTACAGTGCACAGGACAGACTGAGTTTCTCTGCAGCAGTTATCAGCTAAGCTCAGAAGTTACATGCTGCCTAGCTGCAGAATCGAGGCTCTGAGAAACACAGAACTGGCTGGCCTCGGGGTGCAACTGCTTTTGCTGAACGCAACCAAGCACCAACTCTGCTGGTGAGAAAAGAGATAGTGTTCTCTCAGACCAACACTTAACTAAACTTTCCCTGCAGATGCTGAAGCAAAGTCTTACATTACCTTTTCAGGGAGAGATGAAGAAGGGGCAACTTCGGTTGAATCAAGTGGAGGAGAGGTGAAACTGCTACACCAGTTACCATCAAAAGGGCAATCAAGTTTTAGCACAATGCCACAATCCACACTTGTGCTGATCTTCTTTCCAAATCAATTTTGATTATGTGACATGAAAAACTCTTACAAACTTGCCTGAATTTTCCATGAAATAGCCTTTGTAAGTCAATACAGGTTGGGGTGCATAAATCTGTATCTATATTATCCTGAATTTTTTCAGTACTTGCATGATACAATGAGATGATCATTCCCTTCTGCCATGCGCACTGCTGGATCATGCTTTGTCTGTCTGTCTGTCTTCTGGCAAAGTAACACTGAAGAGAAGTGGTGAGGTGCGTTCCCTATCCTCCAATGTAACTGCTACCTTTAATCACAGAAGGGATGGCTTTAGCTACACAGAAGCAGATCAAGATTTTCCAGATCTGGAATGGCAGTAGCTGCTTCCATCTGAAGCTGTGAAAACCCTAAACTCAGTCAAAGAACAGGTACAAGGAAGTAAAACTTATTCCCAAACGTAAAACTCACTAGTGTTTAATAAGAAGATGACTTATTTATCTCCATTTTTACCCTGTAGTTGCTTAATTTAGCCCTTTCGTTTCACAACCTCTGTCAGTCACCCAAATGAACCCTCTACTTATCGTAAAGAATCTCCTACTCTTCCATTTAGCCAGTCACATCCCAGGGACTATCTATCCAGGAATGAGTGACATATTTAATTACAAGATTTTTTATTAAAAATCAACATATTTATATATTTGTACATTCCACATACTGCTGTATATGTTCACCAACATAATCATCAAGTCAGACAGCATTAACAGTAAAGATTTCCATTTGAACTAATTTACTGCAGTGGAGCTTCAGCTGTGTAATCAGTCACATTATAGAATGTCATTAGCCTTTTTTTCCTCCTTTTTTCTTTAAAAGTAGCAGCACATTTAATAATCAGTGTTCACAGGGCATAAGCCTCAAAGTGTTCTACAGCAGGAGAAATTAGTTAATATAGGCAACAGGAGAACAGCTCAATGAAAATTGTATTAGTTACTGCCTATAATGTTATAAACAGTAGGATGTAATAAAAGACTTAAAATCTACACTGAATAAAGACTGAAGCAAACTGGAAAGAGTAATAAAAAATTACTACTTAGTACAATTGTATAAAATAATATTTCTTAAAGTCATTCAGGAGAAGAATCCTGCAAAGAACAGATTTTGTTATACAGATTAAGCAGAGTAAGGATAATGCTTGTGTGTTCAAATATGTAATAAAAGTCTCAGAAAACGTATCCCAATTCCAACCCTACCACCACCTTCTAAAGTTGAAGATACCAGGATTTCACGTTGTTCATGTAACAAAGTGACACTTTATTGAACAGAGAGGCCAAAGGACTCCAACCAGAATTCAAGATTTACACCCACATCAATTGAGTGATAAAAAGGTGACATTAATCAGATAACACAGGTTGGAAGGTGTTTTTGCAGGCTGGGAGTAGGGAGAGTAAAGAGAAGGTTCAGTGTAACCAGGACTTTTGTGCACAAGTTAAGCCACCACAGTACAGGTTGCCTGAAGAAGTCAGTTTATAGGTACATATTGTGTGCTTTCTCTAACAAAAAAACAATTGCTATTTTCTCATGACTTTGAGATCATCGTGTTTTAATATTACTGACATGACACTTATCTCTTTAAATCAGAGAAAGATCCAACAAACTATCACCATACATTTACAGCTGTTTATCTTAATTTGAGCAGTGGCAGATTCCAACCAGCTATGTCGGTCATTTTTCTTCTCTTTTTGCCTTATCAGACACTGGGAAGAAAGAAAAACAAAACACCCCCAAAACCACACACACACAAACTGCAGAAGGTAAACACATTATAGGTAATTTTTATGACAGGAAGAACGGAGATGTGAAAGGGGAAGTAGAAAAGGGTTTAACCTGTGCTTTTTGCATGTCTCAGCCACCACAACACAGGATGGCCAAAGAAGTCAGTAGCAGTATTTCTGTAATTAGAAGTTGTGTGTGAAGTAAACATCTCTTAACATTTGCAAATGCGATGTGACAGAGACTAACCTTATCTGTTACATCTTTTATGTGACAGAATATCTGTGGTTGCAAAAAATCCCCCCCCCCCAACTCCCCTACTGCTATACTGTTTCAGTTTGCAAATTCTAGACAAAGTCAAGGGGTCTCACTGGAAGAAAAGCTTAGTAAGATGAATTAAGCAGAATAAAAGATTCATGAAATCACTACAGCAAAAGCTAAATTAAGAATAAATATTCTGATCAAATCTTTTCCCCAAGGGCATGTCTAAGACAACACACCCCAACCAAAGAGAAAGAGACCGTATCAGGCTAAAACTCCCAGAGTGCAAGTCCACTTCATTTCAAAGCTCAAAACATGATCAAAGAAACGCCTCTCCTTTCCTGCCTCACCTCCTTCATGAATCCAGTCAGTAATTAATAACTAGATTACCATTCCCTTATTACGACTGTAGGCATATCAGAACAACTTAAGTAGCAATGCTGGCCTAGGACTGCAGGCACAAAACATGAATTCAGCAAACTGACAGTTAAAAGAGGAGGAATGAACTCAGTTTCTCCCGCTGAAAATTCTCTTACCCAAATGGTGTTGCACTTATCCTGCCTCAGGGAATGTAAAGGCAGACACCTTCCGTAAGGTTTCTGAGGATAAGATACAGGCCACCATGCACTTTGATGTGGACAGTCACCTCCTCCTGTGGAGTTTGATCCCAGTTGTTCCAAGTGCTGTAAACACACCAGAGCAGCCCCTTCACTGCCCCCTCCCTGGCGAGAGTCCTACTCACTTGACTGCTCTTGCTCTATCAGTTTTTTGCCTTTTCATTTTATTACTGCAGCCTTTTCATATGAATTCATTCAAATGAGTTCTAGTGCAAAATTTAACAAAAATAGGTAGCAATGTATGAATTAAGTGTTAATATTGTTTTATTCCACGTTCCTGGGGGGAGGGCTAGAAGAATCAGATCCTCAAACTTAAACCATTGTCTTTGCAGACACCTATGATTGCAAATGTGCTACTTTATTCTGATTGCTGTATTTGTTCTACATGTATAATTACATGTGTTATTGCTGCATTTTAGCTGAAATGCTTATTTAGAAAACATCAAATATTAATAAAGAATTGTTTATCTTTTACTGCCACATCATCTTATGCAATAACAATTTAAGAACTTACCTTGTAGTCTGGAATGATATGAGCTCTATTCAGCTGCAACACTGGTTGACGAGACTAAATTCACCAATACCTAGAGGCTAGAATTAGCCTTAACCATGGATAACGATGGTTGCTTTATTACATCCCTATCAAACAGGAACAAAGGGTATGCTGAGGATGTTTGCAGCAAAAGAAAATATTTCCCATGAACTGCATGCTATATCCAAAAGACTATCGGATCTCTGTAAAGTCAATTGCTCTTGATCAATCAGTATTTTGCATACGGGGAGCTATAATTTGTCTATTTCATCATTGCTGTTTGAATATAACATGTTTAAAAGCCACGAACACAGAAGAATCTGTTCATACCAGTGCAACACAGGAGAACCACTCATGCCAGAATTAAGTCAGAAATGCCCACAAATGTCTTTTTTGAAACTGCTTTTCACTAAACATGGCTCACATCTTGGTAGAAAATGTTAAAATTCCTTACTTCAACTTTTTTACCCTGCACAACCGTTCGACTATCAAACTCGGGAAGGAAAGAAGGAAGGAAAGATCCAAAGAACTTTTGTTTCCAAGACAAAGATATGAATTGCTTTCTTCCTGGATGCAGCAGTAGGTTTACAAGGCTGTTTCATGAGCTAGCCTCTCTAACAGGAGACCTATGCTGAGATTGCATCTAGAAGATACTGGGCAGCTATCCCGTTTTGCTGAAAGTTTGAACTCCAGTTCATAATGCTAAAACAGCAAGCAGCCATACCGATTTTTTCAACTGCATGTTGTTCAGTACGCTTGAGATTATTTAGAGCTTTACAGAATTAAGAGAAATACTTTGACTTTTAAATACCCAAATTTAATTAAAAAATCTTTGTTTCTAACCCTCTCATGTGGGAAACTGCCCCTTTTAAACTGATTGCTTTAAAAATGGTATAGCATTTTGAGTACTTATCAGGACAGTAAGTGAAGGGATTTTGTTGTTGTTGACAATATTAATGTACAGAATGTTTAATACAATACACCAAATGCAATAATACTGTAGTGTACCTTTGCAGATGTCTTCCCAGTTAAATCTTCTCTTTCCAGGATTTTGATTGCACAAAGTCATCCACAAATATTATCTACTCTTGTGGCGTTCCAGTCTGCTTAAGTTATGTTATAGTAAACATTTATTACATAACCTGTACGCTTACATATCAGCAACATCTTTTTCCGCCAAGAAAATTCTATTATAAGATCAATTTATTCAACTCTATGTACAGAATATTCGCATATTAATAAATAAGTCAACGTTACAGTCTTTTCCCCTATATAAAAGGGACTACAGCCTGACCAGACAATCTGACTCCATTTCTTTTTCAGGCATGCCTGTGACTGAGGCTGTATCAGGTCCCACTGAGTTTATTACATTAACTGTAAGAGTAGAAACCTAATGGAACAGTACTTAAGTTTAAGCCCTATAGAATATGTTAGGTACGTTTGTAGAGCAAAGAACAAGCTCATAATGTGATCCTAGGGAAGAGAATTCAGCCCAAAGGAGGACATCTTGCAGCCAACATTATAACCAATACACATTTTTTTCTTGATAATAAGCTGCATTATGCCAGTCTTGTCATGTAACATTCCAAGAATTCCAGCTCCCAACGATGTCATCTCCACCTGTACAAATTTATCAACACCCCCTTCAGTGCAAAGTGACATTTCTCAGAATAGCCGTTTGCCTTATCTCCCTAACATTCATCTTTACTGTGAAGAAATGGCTCATTTTCTTTAATTGTTTATTACTATATACAGAAGAACCTATATTTGCACGTCTCCATTTCTGGTAGTGAATTTTCTCTTCTATCTACATTCATTAAAAACAAGATAAGTGGCCATATTTCATATTTAATAAAGTCTTCCCATTAACCCAAGGACTATCTGTTCATCTTGATTTATACCTAAAGTAGCTGCACTTCGTTCTTTTTCCAGCCCACTTTCAATGGTGTAAAAGTCATGGGAACCTGTGGCACCTGGAACGTATTTCAAGTCTGACTGCTGGAGTTGGAAGAGTGATGAGTCATTTTTGAATTCAGATGTCTGTTTGCAGCACAGTGTGTGTGGACCATACCCCCATTTGGGTATCGCACAAATACAGGCTTGCAGAAGGGATTCTGGCACACCTGACAGACCTTTTTATCTGAAAGAAGAATTGGGGTTCCTTTTTGTTTAACCTAAAAAGAAAAAGAATCCAAACATGAATCTAGCAAGACAGGAAGGGAAATTAGGAGGCAGTACAAGAAGAGTTAATTGATACCACACGTATATACTATTTCAACTTCACCAACTGGACAAAGCTGGCCAGTGATTGAGGTCATAGGAAAAGAATGCTTGAACTATTTGCTTTGAATTCAATGTCCACATTCATACTAGTTTCCTTGCTTCCTCGAAAGTACTGAGTTTTGTTGGTGGTGTGTGGTGCATGTATTCACACATTGCACACAACTCAAAACCTGATGCAGCTTCCCAAGCAAGAGCACATAACTCCACAGAAAACTGAGTATAAACACATTCTTACCCCAGATAGATTCTGCAGGTTAAACTGTTGTTTGAACCAAACAGATTTAAGAATCCACTGGGAGCTTTAAGCAACACAGCTTCAGCTAGAAAAGAAAGCTTCACAAGTGCATTTACCAAAGCTATTAGTAAGCTTCAACTAATGCCAAGTGCTGTGCAAACTTATGTGCAAATTCTGACAGGCCTAAATCCTAGCAAAACGCTAGCTCATTTTTGTTAAAATTTATGCAAGAGCTTCATTAACCTGAAAGCCCTAGATTCATTTTCATTCAGCCCAGAAGTTCACAAAGTTAGTTCCTATTTTAAGAAACCCTTTTGTTTTATAGGGAAAGGATAAAATAAAGTTTGAATCAAGCAGTCACGGCAAGAAAAATAATAAATGCAGCAGTTATTAAAACTGCCTAGGACCTGAAGAGACAACTTTGTCCTAATTTTCAAACATCTCCTGATCATAATTGAGTCCGTTTAAACATAAAACTTCAAAATGCCTCCATTAAAAAAACAAAAAAACAACCCTACCTTCTCATGTTTGTAGATTAAGTTTTCAGCTTGTGCTAATCCAAGTGCAATCTGAGTCATTCTTTTTGTATGAACGCTTTGCCTCACTGCTCCAGCCAGGAATGGGGACAGAAGCTGCACTGACCAGCTGTCAGGCACCAGCTGCAAAACTAGAGCTGCATCAAATTCAGCAGCATGGTTGTTCAGCAGATCCACAGCAGCCATGACTAGTGCAGAGTCTGAAGTGCCTGTATTTAGATATACTGACAGAAGCATATGGAAAAGCCTCTGCCTGTACTGCAGACCTCTGTTCTCAGAGTTCCATATACAGTATTCTTCAGCAGCATGGAAGTCCTTTAACTCATGGACCAGGATATGCAAAGCCTTCTCATGTTCTTCTAGCTTCCCATATAAAATTGCACTTTCCATATGAAGATCCGTGCCCCGGATTTTATCTGTTAGGAGAGAAACACCACAACGTTACGTTCTGCTCAGCGGAGAAGAACGTTACTCCCTTCCCAGAGTCAATGCAAAGAAGCACTGAGAGCTCAATCCCCACCACCTTTGCAGAGGTTTTCACAGCTATATAGAGGACAGGTATAAGTAGGAGGATGCCCAAATGTACATAAACACATCTCTAACAAAATAATACCACAAAATACAGGAAGAAAACCCCCTGCTGAATAACAGGTGACAAAACCAATGTCACTGACATATTTTAAAATCCTAGCTTGTGAGCCTTGCCCATTTCTGCCCACACTGCTACCACAGCTGATAGGCCGTAAGACAAAGCCGCCATATTTTTAACCCCCTGCCCCCTCAAAAATTACAGAACGTTTTCAAAGTCCATAAGAGACAGTAGATAGCAAATAATACAATATTTCAAGAGAAGGACACTACAAATCCTTGATCCAGTTTGGCAGTTGTAAAGATGAAGCGTTAGCAACTCGCACTGCAGATGGCAGAGAATGACGGCAAGTTCATTTGGAATTTCAAGATAAAGAAGTTTTTACTTTACTTGCTGTAAAGGTGATAAAGATATGGTATGGCCCTGTGCAAAAGGGTATGGAAAGTCAATGTTTCTTCCTTCAAATATTTTCGTTATCAGGGAGGAATACATTAGCATGCATTCACCCCATCTTCATATAAGATTTTTCACGCAAGAAATTCTGTATTTTGGAGTACAAGGATTTCAGGAGAATAATCCAGCTTGCAACTCCTACTCTTAAAAACTGGGTTAAAAGGAGCAAGAGTTCCAATGATTTATATTTGTACATTTGTTACATTAATGTTTTGCTGACTGGAAAGGTGAATGGATGGTAAATACCAGTAAGTTATTTTAGTTGCTACTCAGCCATTTTTCTTTCAGCCACCACCAGATTCTTCCAGAGAGATTCAGAAAAACATTTCATAATTTCATTATAACAAGTCATTTTCCTCTCGTCCTTTGCAAAGGACATTAAGGCAACAGCCATCGTAATCACCGGCCAAGGATTAATTTTAGCTGAACTGTTGCTTGCCTTACACCAAGATGTATACTGTCCTTTTCACAAAAAAAGGCACTCAGATTGTCGCCTACCATGAATCCCAGTTTTCAGGGTTGCGGAAGGGGGCAGTCGTGGACAAAAACCAAAACAGATCCACAAGTCCTTGGGAATTAACTCCTTAATGCTCAGAGATAGTTCAATCTATTTGAGAAATACATTGCTTAACAAAAACTTTTAATGCTTCCATTTGCAAAGACTGTCACAAGTTAATTACATGCTCAAAAAGAAACAGTTTATAAAGTTATTTTTCTTTGTATGATATTTCTTCTAGCTAGCTATAGCATTATGTGTTTGGTACAGTGGCAAACATACCGTTCTAACTCATGAAATGTGTGAGACCAAAGGCAATGGTAACAAACATGTCTTCTCTCTCAACTTGTTTATATTTGAAATGCAGATAAGCCTGCCGCCCTATACACCTAGAAGCCTTGAATCTTTTAGTTTTCTATCCTTATGAAGATTTTTTTCCTGCTGCAACTGACACATACAATAGAGCACATGCATCTTACCCAAAATAAAGTGAATTCTATAAAGATCAGATTTCTGAAGAAGACCGCGTAGTTTAAACAGCAGTTCAGTTGTTTCTGTACAATTATCTGTTGTCACAGATTGCAGCTGAAGTATTGCTTCCAAATACAAGACAGCTAGATGGGTATGGTACTTCTCCTTCTACAGATTAAAAGCACAATGTTAGCTCACTTTACAAAGACAACCTCTTCTCCCTTCCGATAACATTTTGAGGAATATTTACACAATTCCATATAAATGTGTTTTAATTCATTCACTTAGTTTAAAATCAGTCAGAAAAATTTTTTGTTCATGAAAATTAAATTGTTCAAAAGAGCGTTTTAAGATAAATGCTCTAGGTTCTCTGCATTTCTGTCTTAACACTACAGATTTTTCTGAAATACAGGTATGAAAAACCTTAGTCCTAAACCACTCTTTGCCTTAAATAAACAAGCTCTATAAGTAGGTTTTCTTGTGCAAAAGTTTGCCTTTCAGATGTTCATCTAATGAAAGTCAAAGCAATAAAGTAGATCTCTCTCCTCTGAATACGAGTATAACGTACACGGTGCCCTCGTGTTTATTTCCATTGTAAAATGAGTAATTTCAATCTAATTCATTCTTCTTCGTATTCAAGGGTGTTCTTTGACCTCTTCTATTTCTGCAATATATTTTGAGAAAGCCACCAGAAGTAGGCAACTGCTCTGAAAGTGTCTCAGCAATTTATGTATCAGCATAACGCTTTTTGTATTATTCACTACCACATATCCAGCAAAACAAGTTGATAATTTGATTACTGTTTGAAACATTCTCACTAAAGCATTCACAATAACCTAGCGCTTTCTGAAGAGGTCAGCTTAGAATCCAGCTTTTACCAGAAGGTAAAATAGATCTATCTATACATTCTTTTTGTTAGAAATACTCTAAAGACGCTGTTTAACTGGTAATACTTGTTTGCAAATACTCGTGACATTAGAAAAGAGTGTGATTATTGGTCATGGTGCCATACACCAGATACTTGAAAATATTTATTGAATTTTTATATAAATATATTTGAAACAGCAACAGAAGGAAACCATTGATCTAGCATATACATTTCAAGGATGCAAGCTAGGGAACTGGCCATCAGATCTGCCAAGTTCTTTCAACATTCATTTCTTTGCTTTATTCAGAGTTTTAAGTCATTTCTCCTGTGCTTAAAGCATCTCATGTCCAAGTCCCAAAATGTTTCACCACTTCTGTATTATGCTTTACATGTTGATAGAATCCAAGGGTAGAAGACAGTGATGCTTATGAATAGTGCACGGATTTTTAGGACATTCACATTCTAGAGTGGTTTGGAATTCTACCGCATAAGAGGTTCATGTCTTAATTCTGCCGTTTCTTCTCTGAATCTCTCCAGGACAGAATAACACATATCTACTTTTAAAACGCTGAATCAGAAATGTTAGTGCATTACTATCACAGTGCAACAGGATTAGCAATTTTCAACCATTTTTCTGTGACCTTATCCCAGATCAACTTTTTTTAGCACTGTAAATTACTCCTGTTATCTAGTGGGAGAAACTGCAGCATAACAACCTCAGGTGTTTCTAAAACAGCTAATGCTTAAAAATGTTTTCTAGAGATCAGTATGCAGTCAATTACGACAGACTAAACACATTATGTTTCATCTTCCCCTATGCACTTTATAGATGGCTTATGAAGTTTTATGAGTTACTCAACTCCCTATTTAAGGATTTACAGTTCATAAGTGAATGTCATACTGAATAAAAAAGCATCCCAGAGAAACTCTGATCTGAAAGTCTTAAACCACAGACTGATTTAAACCTCACCAGTGAGATGGAAAAGCACACAATAGTGACATGGAAGAACCCAGAGCAGCTAAACAACCGTCTTACTACAATTTTCAACTTGAAAGTTACTTCAACAATGTAATCTCAGCTCCTGATCTTGTATTTTAATCTCAAAATCACTTATTTCCTACTTGGAGTATATCTGAAAGCCTTCAAACTATGCCAATTTCTTCTAGCATTGGTATTTTTTAGGTTGTTTATTGCAGTTTGCACTCTGAATCCTACGTCTATTTTTTGGCATTCTTGGAGGACTTACCTCTATTTTTCTTTCCAACACTAGATGTTCTAGATATTTAACAAGTGACTTTGGGTATTTATTAAGGCAACCGATGATATCATCTGGATTAATGTTGTTTTTTTCCTGTTCTTCCAAAGGCCTTTTAGTGAAAATCTGTACTCCAACCTAGAAGGAATTAACTGCATTTAGAAACTTAGTGGCAACACTTGTATTTTAAATACCTACTTAACAGCATTATCAGATTAGTTAGCACAGTATTGAGAAAGATACATAACGGAAAGCCCCCCACACCACCAAGACCACACCACTTAGTGCTTACTGTGATTTCAACCATCCCCATTTCCTCAATTTGTAAGCCATATGTCACCCAGCCAATAAGCCTTCTGTTGGGCAAAACTTCTACCAGCCTCAAGTAGTGAGCAGATCTGCATTAACAGCAGAACATACTTGGGTTCTTTGCAGGAAGAAAAAAAATAAAGATTTATAAATCTGGTCATTGCATGTAATGACTGTATTTTAAATTAATACAAATCAAGTAGTGACAATTCCAGCAGCAGACACTCCCTGATAGAACATAAAGTACTCAATTGGCACTTAACTTGTAATATCCATTAGTGTTTTATGCCAAAGTTATATTTCTAATGTTGGTGGAATTATACTAATTCTTGTATATAGCTGTAAGGTATCTCTTAAATGAAGGCAGTTTCGTTCTTGAATGAAGGTTATGTCACTTTCTAGTTACAGAGATACTGCCTTTACTGAAATCCTTTTAAAAGGAACAGCAGCAGAAATGTAACCCATTAGGTTAACCCTTTTTTTAAGCTCTGAAAAGTATGGTTAGCATGAAGAAAAACAATACATGCTATATCTTTCATTGCTCAGAAAGACTTACACTTTGTTTTCAGAAGAAAGAGAGGCAATTACCATTAGCACAGAGATTGTTAACAGAAGGATCTAAAAGAATTAAGAAATCTGGCAGTTTATTTCTGTCAGTCACTATTTAATAATCATTAAATATTATTCAAAAATGGTCTGATTGGTTTACGAGATACAAATGTTTACGAGATACAAAACACCCAAGAAGTATTTCAGAGACAATACTTTATATTTGTGATGTTCTGGGAAGAAGTATACCAATCACAAACCTCTTCATTTTTCTGTAAAGCCCATTCTGAGTATTTCCACACTAGATCTTGGTCTGAGCAGAATGTAAGGAAGTCCACGATGTATTCATACAGATCTGAACGTGTAGAGTCTTGAATGTCTCCATTCACTATTTTCACCCATAACTGCAACAAAAATGCACAGAGATTACAGTGTACATAGATACCATGCTTAAAACATGTATTAAGTCTTCCAACTCAAAATTTATATATGCTACTACTACACTTACTATTAGCCATTGGTACTTGTGGAATCAGAAAGAGCTTCTAGCAACGCAGATTGTCAGGAACCTCACTGGTCATTAAATTCACACCACCTCTCCATTACAGGCTTTTCTTGTACATGCCATATTCAACTAATTCAGGACCCACATCACTGTGGGTTCTCACATGGAGAGTGATTGCCAGAACACTTCAAGAGGAGGTACACTAATCACAAAGAAAGCTTTCAATAACATTCCTTTCATGCAGTCTTTTTCTTTTGTTTTCTGAGTGTGTAAGTTTAAAAGAAATAATGCAAAGTTAACTTGGAAAAAGCATAATTCTTGCTGCTCTTTAGTTTTGACTGAAGAATTTTAAAAGCACTATAAGGAAAGTATTTATTTTTATGTAAATCAATTGGAATTGAAAGGTGCTACACCTAACAGATCAGTTTAGCAATAAACATAGGTTCCTGAAATAAAGAAAAATACCTTATATGTGACAAAGGTGCAGTTCTCCCCCCTCCCCCACTTACTGCCTTTGTTTTCTCACTATCTTTTGTTTCTACACAGGAAATTACTGCTTACAAACTGACTTGAATACATTTGACAGAGTAATTGTGATAACCATATCCAAAAAGCCACGCAGTAACTTAAACTACTATCAGTATTGCATATCTTCCAAGATATGCATGCTTCGATCAATAAACAAAATTTAATTTTTCTATATGAAGTTTTTCAGACAGTACTAACAAAGCTAATCTGCAGTCTGCAGACCACTGCTGGTCTTAGTGACTAATGACATCAGAAGGGGAGGATCCCAAAAGGATTACAAAACCAGCTGAAACCCACAGATCTTGCCAACCATGTGCACCTGAGCCAGAGTAGGAAGCAACACCCAACTGCTATCATTGTCTGCCATGAGATTTTATTACTGCTGTTGTGTGTGTACAGACTAATCAACATAGGATATGTTATGACGTCCTCCTCAAAATCATCTTAAATGGTCTTTTGATTATATTAGTGCTTCTGTACATCTTTAAGGAATACAAACATATGTTCAGGAATGCAGATTTCTGCCTAAAAAATAGCATAAAAGCACCTGAATAGTTGTCATCTTCAATAAGCTCTTCAGGTGTTTCATCTCTAGCATATCAATTTCTTCAAGGAAGTCTTAGCATAAGTTTCTCTTTCTTACATATACATATCACTTTTCAGGTAGATAAAATTAACATCTCAGAGATTTTAATCTCAGAGAGGTAACCTGATATTTTGGGATGATTCACACACAACACTAAAAGCTTTATTCTAACCTGAAGTGCTGCAGCGTCCTGACCATTGTAGTGATAAAGGAGACCAAGGGCAAAATACCTGCATAGAAAAAGAAAACATTAAAACTTCTAGATCTTTCCTACCAATTTCATTATGGTTTAAATAGCACAGAATATAACAAACAGTTGCTTATGGTGGGATTTTTAGGCGATGTGTAAATTCTCATGTCCACATTTGAACAAGCAACTGTAGGCTCATTCTTATAATCAACGGAGAGAAGTCCTGTCCTGAAGTGTATGCATCTGTCTCTTTCTCTAAAGGCAAATTACAGTTACTAGCTCCAACTTAGATGTTTAAAAGTATGTGTTAAAGGAGAGATGACCCCTATGCTGTTCTTTTTGTATATGTTAGGTACGTTTGTAGAGCAAAGAACAAGCTCATAATGTGATCCTAGGGAAGAGAATTCAGCCCAAAGGAGGACATCTTGCAGCCAACATTATAACCAATACACATTATAACCAATACACTTGATGCACAGCTCCCAATATCCTTTCAGTAGATAATCAGCTATCATTGAATCAAATTTTTCATGATGCTGTAAAACTCTTTTCTATCAGAAATAGATTTTTTGATACTGTATGAAACAGTCAGGCAAGGAACAGCTTTCTACTCTGCTATTGGAGTTCTTTGCATACTATAATATTAACATTTAAGTTCTATAATGGCTACTCTCATGAAATGATATCTACCAGTCATATTTATTACAAAGCTTGCCATATACAGAGTAAACATACCAAGAGAATTCTACAAAATATCTGAAAAGTGAAACTACCCTAAACCTAATTGCAATTAGGAGTCCTCTTCACCACTGCACTACACAGCTTAATGACAAAGTCATTAAATCTCAGACAGAGGTACTGAGACACTATGCATGACTGGAGTTTGTATTTAACACATTTACTTTCTAGCATTTCCTGCTTAATGACTAGCAGCCAATTCTTCACCTGCCGGTTATTTCCCAATGGAAGTCATCTGCACTCATCTTGAACATGATCCTTGTAGTGAATAAGTACAAGCACACTGGAGTTCGTAGTTCAACAGCAAGATTTCTTTCACTGAATAATTCAAGCTACCAGCATTTTAAAGCTGCTAGCTAGTTAATAGCTTCTCGTTGAAGTAGTGCATGTATTAAGGCGTCTTTTCATTCAGTCCAAGACATCAGAAGAAATGTACCGCTACTACATCCATCAATCCTCCCACTGTCACAAGCACAAGTGGGCCACCCTGTTTCTTCAAATCGCTACCAAACCCTTATTTCCGTGTTGGACAGAGGCTTTTGGGGAAAACTTGTATTCTATCCTACACTGGAAAATACCATTTTCTTCATCTCAGAATGTTAATTAATATCTTTCTCCTCATAATTTTTAAATGCTGACAAGTCAAATTGTTTTTTGGATCCAAAAAATAGAGAAACCACGAGGATTTAAATGTACTGGTCCAGCAATCAATAGCATTTAAGATAGAAAAACAACTTTCCCTCTTGTTTCAAAACTACAATATTCAAAAAATTCACTCACTTTTTGTGTTTTTCTAGCCAAGCAGCACTATCTGTTAAAAGACAAAAATTCTCCGAAACTAGCAGATCCAGAAGACTTTCATGATTTGCCTCTGCATATAACTTAAGTAAAGCTGTGTCAACATCTTCCTTGTAGCCGTTTGCAACATCAGTACTGCGGACTTCACTTAAGTAGCTCATAAGGAACCGTTTGCATTTCGTCATCTTCTCCTGGTCCCCTTGTGTCAGCTGGTTTAGGTCAGCATACTCATGCAGAGGGGGATGAGACCGTATAAATGAAGAGGAAGTAGGCAACAGGAAGGGGTACAGAGAGATCAGCTCCCGGACATCAAGCTGGCCGCTTCTGCAATTACAGTGTCAAACTAGATGAAGCAAAAAAGAAAGAAAAAGTATACATAGGCACAAAAAAAATAACATACTGGGAATGTGTGCACATATGCTTAGAGTCAGGACAGTAACAAGTTGTCAGCTTCCAAAAGTTACTGCCCTTTATACTAGGGAAGATATCTTTAGAAATGGCAAAAAAAATCCAATTTGTTCCAAACTCATTTTTTCATTCTTCTTCCTCTTCTGGATATTGAGAGCTCTAAGAATTAGGAAACTGGCCAGCCCTTTACTTTTAAGTTGCCAGTCTGTGTCAATCCCAGATAAGTAGACAATACGACATCCCACAGCTGTTCAATGATCTATATAAACAAACAGCTGGATAGCCTTAGTATACTTCCTAGGACTGCCCTGGACTTCAATATATTAGAGGAGCTATTCTTCTGGTTGAGGCAAAGAACTGGATACAGTGAACCCTTTCAGGCAAACCACAAAGATTGTTTAAGTAATTCCGTAGAATATAGAGGCTTTCTGTAGAAAACAGAAGCTTTTAGAACATTTGAGATGATGAAAACACTTTCCCCAACCCTAAAATGCACCAAATTTCTCGTTCAGCTCACTTCTTAAGGTTCTGAATATAAGCTGCGGATATTGACTATGCATCCACCTAACCAGTAAGGAGTAGTCTATCATATAGACATAGGTGTCAGGTATATACTGATGTCAGATATTACACAATGGCTTTTCCCTTCACATGTGAAGGGCATCTGTATTTTATCCAGGAAAACATTGATACCTGTATTACAGAAAATATTCTTTTAGCCTGAACTGAAGACATTCCTAAAGCGTTTGTAGAGTGAGGTTTGGGACAGAAGAATAAAATTGATACACACCTTGAAACTGTCAGGGTACCTAAAGAGGCATGGAACATTTTCTGAGTTGCACCCTCCAGTACCAATCTCTTGGCTTGAATACAGGCAAGTTCAAACTAGCAATATTCATGTGAAATAGATCCAAAGCCTGTAAACCCTATAAAGAACCCTAAATTCAAAAGCGTATATGAAGTCAGTCATACTGATGGGGTAAGTGTACTTGCTTTATTTTAATTTCCACTTACTAAGCTTATTCTGCACTTATTCTCCCTGTCCAAGACAATCCAAGTACAAGCCTAAAAGAGCAGAGTAAGGCGACAACTCATAATACTTTTTCCCCCTCCTGTTCTGTCTTTCACTGTCTAGATGTCACTAGAATACTAATTTAAACAGATCAAACACAGCTATTGAAAATATCTCAGCCAGCCTGCCTGAATGTCACCTTTGTCTTGGCCTCCTTACACTGCTCTGCGTGACTTCACTCATCTGCAGAAGAGTCTTTACACGTGGCAAATAACTCTAGTGTTCACAAATAAGAGTGACTACTCCTCCCAGCCTTGTCTTCAAAGAACAGCAAGGCTTTATTTGACTGGGAATTTGACTATTCAGAATTAAAGATGAGCATTCCTGAAATGCAGAAGATATTGCTGCTGAAGAAGCTCAAAATGAACGGAAAACTCTAAGAGAAACCCTAGTTAGCTAATACTTTTGGAAATAAAATAAAAAGTCTTGTCTATCCAGCAATCCACAACCTCAGAAAGACTTCCCTCCGCAATCCTGACTGGAAAGAATTCCAAAAGGAAATAAGTTATAGACAACTGAAGTAGATGAAGCAGGAAGATGTTTACCTTCGGCAAACAACAAATATGAAAGATCCTAACAAATGGGTTAACCCCTTCTCTATAATTCTAAAGTAATTAAAAGCAATGAGGCAAGCCCTGAACTGTTGACCTCTTGCCAGAGAAGTATTTCTAAAACTATTCAGAAAACATGAGTCTGGTTTAAGAAACAAAAGCCCCATAAAAAACACGGTAACAACTATTTAGAATTTGTTAAAAGAATGTTCAAAGCAGTTAATATTGTCCTTTGGCTACTAAAGCTGTATCAGAAGACTATGGGAGATAATGCTTTTAAATTTCTTGCTGTTGCTGCTAAGTATCCTGTTCCAGAACTTTGGGACTGCCAGGGATGGCAAAGCATAGAAACAGCAAAATGAACAATAGCCAATTGCAACAGAGAAAAATCTGAACATGGGAAACCTTCCTATGAAGAAAATTTCAAATAGCAAGTTTTTCTGATCCACATGCACAGCTTATATTGCCTAAAAAAAAAAATCTCTACACTAGAAAGGCCATTCTTTCTAATAAAGAAAAATTGGTTATACCTACTATGCATGTTTCTAAAGCTGAAACGTCCTTTGAATTCCTCTTTTCAGACTTCATGTTTGGCTTCAAAATGCTTAGATTCACATTATGATGGAAGTCAAAGATAGATGAGAATTTTTAAGAGGCAGAATAACCAAGAAACATCAGGTTCTGTCAGTGGCATAACCTCACGGTTCAAACAGCATTTGGGCTTTCAGTATCAACTTATTACAGTAATCTAACTGCAACTCTGGCTAGTCTAACTACTCTGTGAAAGTTTAAAAGGCTTGAGGATCACTAGAAAATAAATACCCATACTAGAACAGGAAGGCAGTCTACTCAATCTGTAGAAATCTCAGTATGATCATTAGTTCCCTTACTGGCTACACCATCAAGTATCTGGAGATGGCCTAAGGTGAGCTGGAGAACATGACCATGCAGACAGATGAAAAAGTTAAATAGAACATGTTAAATATCACATTTGAAACAGTTGTTTTAAAACATTTTCCAACTTCCACAGAAATGGAGATTCTGCATCCCTTCTAGATAAGGGCCTCATCAGTTACTTCACCTCTGAACTTCACAGATTTTGGCCTTAATGATCATCTGCCTTAAGAGCAGAATCAAAACTAGGTTCCAAATCAGGCTAGGCCAGACCTTGGGTTGTCAATTACCAGTGCTTCTTTCAGCAGGTCTGACTCAAGCTCAGACAGTACACTTTTGCCAATTACCATTGCTCTGGGAGGAACAATTAAACAGACTCCTAAAAGCCATGTATTGCTCAGAACAAACTTCAGAACAAACAAGAGAAAAATACTAAATACTAGACAATGACCCCACCTGCATGATGGGTTAACTTTAGGTTTATGGCCCCCCGGGATCTGGGGATGCCCTTTGGCTTAGGCTTTCTACTGCATCTAGAGGAAACAATCTAAGGAAAGTTACAAATGACCTCAACTCCTTTGGAAAAAAAAAAATGCGAGTTTTCAGCTTCTGTCATCTCAGCTATAGCAAAATATAGGTGGCAACTTAAAGAACAGAAAATAGATTCTTAATATTGACAGTTTGATCTGTCTTAAGTGGAAACTTCCATTTGAGAAATTCTGCATTAGGTCTTTTCTGGCTTCACACGTACAAATAACACAACAGGCAAAGTCTACAAATCTTGATTGGAAGATTTAGGTTCCAAATTAAGATCCCTTAAATTTACAGACATCAGAGAGGTCGTAAATAGAGTCTGTACAATGAAAAGCTAGATGCTTTGGCTGTTTGTCTAGATCCCCACTGGCTGTAATGAAAGTTTATACTTTTAAAATCACATTTCAGATATAAATCTCACACTAAGTCATACTTCCTATATCTCCAGCTATAAATACCAGTTCTACATGAGGATGGATAAGACAGTGACTGTTTTTAACCCCTCCAGCATAGGAGAGGCCTTAGCTATAGTTGTCTCCATATCCCTTCCCAGGTGAGACAACACTGAAAAGGAGGAGTCATCACTTTGATTTGTCAAAAACACCAATGATATTTAGCAAAGTTCCAGTCTCCAATCTGTCAGATCGCAAGCAGCATCTAACCAGTGAAAGGATATAACTGAATACTGGAGACAAATATTTTCATTGTGGCAGCTATCAACATTTCAGCAAAATATCTAGAATTCAGCAAATGGCCCACTAAACATTTGTTTGGTCTAACCCCATGCAAGCCTCCAAATGACAGAGATATGAAAAAAACAAGATTTATAAGTAATAATAGATGTTTATCTGTCAAGTAAAATAAGTCCCACTGTGACAGCTCACTCAGTTGAAGGTTAACAGATCCAGCTGAAGAAAATAACTTCTCCTTTATTTGGTGAACTATTTGAGTTTCAGTATAGCTACCACTTCCTTCCTTCTCCTCAACATTCTTCAGTAGTCATCAGTAGTCGTAACCCAAAGAAACTCAGCAGAACAGTATTCCTTTTAACAGTTTCCGTACTTAACTACAAAATTAAGCATCAAACACAACCATATCCTGATAAGGTTACCCAAAATGGGTTACTGAAGGAAGAAAGCGAGACTTTTAGTCCAATATAATCATCTGACCTGTTAGAAATAGTCTATTGGTTATAGACTGAGGAATGAGACAATCGCAACTGAAATTTGGCCAGAAGTAGCTCCATGTCACATCAAATTCCTGGAGGTACTGCTTTCACTTTGTTTCATTGTTAATTCCACCTTTTTCTCAAATATATAACACATTTTCCTTTGACGCTTTAAAACAACAGTTATTTTTGACTAACTCTAGCTTGAAATACCACCGACAAAGCAACACATCGAGATGGGAGGAAGCGGCTGCAGGGATCACCTATCTTATCCATTTTTCCTCCAAGCAGCAGTAAGCCTAGCATAAGGACAGCTGAGTGTTTTGGGGGCATAACTAGACACTACTTGAACCAGGTGTGATAGCTGGGGCTGAAAATCAGAGACCCTGGATTACATAAAGGATTTTTCAGTCACTCAAATACTCTCGATAGCCTACATACGGCTGGCCAGAAGGCATATTTAGCCTTACTTTCTCCCCCAAAGGGGTCAGCAGATCACAAACAACTTTTCTGCTTTGCAGTTGCAGCTTCTGCAGGAAGAAAATACCCTGCGATGACAGTTCAGCACCAAGATTCATGGTTGGACTGAGTTTTCTCGTGAAACATATTTCATTCTATAGAAGAGTTCCTAAAGTCCTGTTCCTTAAAGCTCATTCCTGATGGGCTGCTAGCCTGATTGTGCAGCCCCCACCCATCAAGGCCAATCCAACCAATCTGTCTCCTCTCCTTCCACAAGGTGGTAGAGCTCCCAGCACGGTACACTTCCTCCTTTTCACTGCTTTTAGAAGATCCTCAATCAACTACCAGCAAGGCAGGGCCACATGCAAGGCCTTTTAAGGCATTCTGTACAGTAAGGTATTCTGTACTATAAAGCTTGTACTTTTACCTCAGATATACAACACAGCAGTGATTTAGTGTGGTGTCTGCAAGACCTGCAAGGAGGAAGGAAGATTACTAGCTGCTCACTAAAGCCAAAAATTACGTGACAATGAAGAGGTCATCAACAAAAACTGCTGCTGTATGCTGTTCAGGCATATCCTGTCATTTCCTAATTTCTACTCACTGTGCATTGCCCATTACAGCCCCGTGTTTCTCATTATCGTACTGTGCTGGAGTTAAAAATGGACAATTCTCTCTCCAATAGCAACCTCTCCCACCGCTTTACTTTCCTTGACATTATCTCCATTAATCCCAACTCAATTTTTCCTGTACTGTACCAGCCTACTACATATACCAAATTGTCTAACCTTAACAGTCCTATCTTATAGAATAGAAATGAATTTCAGCAGATAACAAGAAGAGTTTTTATGTGGCCAGCACGGATTACACTAACTCTGGACTGTCCCATGTCACAGGATGAAGCACTGCTAGCAGAAATGAAATTATCAGGTAAAACAAAGACAGCAAGAAGCATTTTTGACTGCTTTTATGGAGTCAAAGTGGAATACTAAGATCAATTTGTGAACAAAGTCATCTGTCTTCTGGAAACGGTCTAGCCGAACAAGCGTTAGAAGAAATTCACTATCTACATTCTCAAAAAAAAAGTCAGTACAGTTGCATCAACGGTATTTAAATTATAACTTTTTCTTAGGAAACACATAGTTAAAAAAAATCAGGCTCAATAAAGCCCTGACCTTCATAGGCATCAAGTCCACAAATCACCACACAGACAACGATTACAGCCTTAATGCTACTGTATGTTAAAAAAAAAAAAATCACTAACTTAACTGCATTAACTCTCCAGTTATAAAGCTGTTTCAGTGTCACTCTGCTTTTCTCTCAACAAAACCATTTGATCACACTGATCTCACATCCACATCAAAAAACATTCCAGCAGTAAGCTTTTTTAAAATCAACTATGCTAACTCCTTATTTAAAGAGGATTAGTAAATTTGCCACAATTACCTGAAGAGCTCTTTTGCTTCAAGGAACTGAAGCTGTGCAAACTGAATAAAACCTGCTTGCTGCAGGATTCGTTTGTACATTACCTATGGAAGAGAAAAAAAAAAGTTTATTCTATTTAGAGAGTTATTTACATGCTACTACTCATTATTGCAACAGGTACCTGGCAAAGACACTGAACAGAGGATCTTCAACCAGGCCTATCAAGTTACATGCAAAAAAAGCCTTCAGTCTCTACATTATAAATTGTATGTAGGGCAGCAGGTTCAAAATATCTCCAGGTACATACATTTCTTACACAAAAAGTTTGTGAACCTAACGTTCTTCAGGAGTACTTAATAAAAGTGAAGTCAACAATTAGCAAGTTTAAGTTTTCTTATTCAAATGATGACTTATCACATCATATCAGTCAGACTTTTCTCGAGTTTTTGCTCATGGTACTTACAAACGTAAAGGCCAATGGTTATCTTGGAAGATCCCCATAACTGAGCAGGTACAAGTGTTTTTTGGGTGTTTTTTTGCTTTTGTTTTTCATTCTTCTTTTTAAATTCAAGGGCCCTAGCTGACCATACACAGCCAACCTTCTCCCCTCCTCACCTTAGCTTCCCAATAACCCTGCTGCTGATTCTTATAGCCTCACATCCCCTGTTGATGATCATACTTCTGACTTCCTGCCAGCAGCTTTTTAAAATACAAACACTTCTAAAGCAGCTCAGTTTATCCAATCTGCAGTACATTACACAATGTACACAAAAATATGGTTAAAGAGAAGCACAAGTGAACTATAAGCAATGTATTATGAAGTTTTGCTGCTAAGATCACATCCAGACAGGAAAAAAGTTTACAAAAAAAAATTTAGTACTGACAGAAAAAGTCTACTTCAAATGCTAGGTATTTAATCCGAACACTGAATTGGTGACCACCAGGTGAAACGAAACCCTTGTGCCCAAAATACTTCCAATGGCAAAAGAGAGTTGTTGAAAGTAAAGAATGTAAACTGTTATCTGGAAAGCATCCACCGTGACTCTTTGGCTGTGCATATTCCAAATACAGCTAGCTATATCCAAATGCCTTCAGTCTTCCCCTCCAACTTTCTTATGAATAAGCAGTTTTTTAATGTCTAACAGAGGATTATGAGTTCTTCTCTTAATAACAGGCCTCCATCTTCAGTAAGAATATCCAGGAAAAATCGTAATACATTAAGCAACATATTTCAAGCAGGAATTGCTAAACATGAGAGAGCAAGTAGGGTACACTAAAATTCCAAAAGGTGATTTTTCATCTTGATTAAAGTCTGTAAATTACCAAGAAGAAAGTTTGGCTTAAGTCTATGTTTTACTAATGGATTATCCTAAGAGTATATATAATCCTGATCATTAGTAAGCCACAGAAACCTATTGATTTGTGAGGTTGTGTGGGTTTTTTGGCCTCCCCGGGGCAGGGGAGAGAAGGAGAAACGGAGGAAATGTAATCTGGCACATCTTTTCAGACAAACAATAAAAATAAAGAAAATTCACTTCATCTTTATATTAATTTTACTATGCATTGTGTCCAACTAGAAATGCAGATTTAGGACTAAGGTCCTAAGGATGCAGACCAAAATCTTTTATAAGCAAACATCTGCACCCTGTGGCACCAGAAGTCTTCAAAATCTGGCTTCACTTTCCAGGGAAGGTTAAAGAACATTTTTGCACCCTGATAAGGGAACCAATACCCAAAGTAATTTTCTGAAGTCTGTTTTCAGTTTTTGCAATAGAGTGACCGCTAGTCATTTTTAGGGAATCAGAGTACTGGCACTAAGTCTGAATCCACCTGAAGTTATTCCCTTAATTGTATAGAGAAATTAGTCTGTACAGCAGTCTTTTCAATTAAAAATTTAAAAGAGGTCATCGTTAGTGCAAGCATAGGGCTAAGAGACCACTTTTTAATTTAAAGTGATTATTAATACTCACTCATGTCTACAATATTGACTTATCTGCGCTTGTCCAACCATTGTTCAAAACTCCCCCCACTCTGAACATCTACAAATATTTTCCCAATTTTTGAAAGATACATGGATAGGGCAGGGAGTAGTTAGCTTTGTTTTTAACCAAGATACATATCAGATATGAAGATGTCCCATGATAGAGATTACGCAAGCTACAGGGGAAAATTCTACAATCTCCTCAGATGTTTTTAAGAACAGGCTAGACCTATATCATTCAAGAACATCACCTAGTTAATTTCTGTTTGGGATAGGGGAAAACAAAACTAACAAAAAACCCAATCTTTTTGAGTTCTTTCAGAGCTGTTAGCCATAATACTGTAACTTTTTTTTTTTTTTAAAGGTACTAAGTTCTAACCTGTTTAAAATTCAACACTGTTTATTCCTCTTTCATTGTATAAAGAACAGCTTTAGGACTTGAAGTGCTCTAAGAGAATTCTATATTGCTGGTTGAATTCACAATGGAAAAGCTATTGAAAACAAAGAAATCTAGTTACAAAAACATTTAAGATTTAACTGAAAAGCAGTACTTGGAAAAAGCTCTAGTAAACAGAAAGGTTACTACTGAAGCTGCAATACCCATAGTGAAGCTTTATTTCTCTCAGTTGCTAGAAAAATCCGTACTAGAATGGTCAAAATTACCACTGACATCACCAAAAAAGATTTTTCTAGAAAGTTACTTCAACTTCTGGCCTGGCTTGGGTGTAGTCAATACATTTTTGAAACTAGACAAAATGAGAGGCAAAAAAAGAGATACCTATGCCAGATGTGTGTCAATCTAACCAAGGTCTTCACTACCAACCACCATGATTTCTGCAAACTTCAGCTGTCCTGAAAAATTAATGAATACGTAGTGTTCAGTCATTTCATGGTAGCATGGTAGAAAAGCCTTTGCTATTCCTCTACCAAAAACAATATCCTTGCACCACTTTTGCTTAGCGTTTTTTTACCTAGCAATATTTCTTGATGCTCAAAGACAAAGAAACTCATCTAATGCAGCAGAGAAATTTGCAGTTTGCAGGGACTCTTGTCTAAAGAGCAGGTCAAGGCTACTAATGTATGACCTGCTTCTTCCCAAAAACTAAAACATTGACTGTACACATAATTCAGACATTGCAGTACCTTAAGCTGTTTCAATCCCACTGTCATTCTGAATTATCAGCATACATTATATGTTTTGAAGGAGAGAGGAAGGGAACGTGCATCCACACAATGACAACGTAGTATTAAACCGTAGCAAAAAACCTACCTCCTCAAGAAGTCTGTCTTACAATGATTGAGTTCAAGTCACACATAAAAGCCACGGCAAACGGGGGAGATTAAAGGAGCATGTAGAAAAAGGAGTATATGCTATGCGTACCACACAACTATCATCACTCTTCTGCTTGGATAATTTATAGTTGCTGGATCAAGTAGCTTAATTCTATATCTGTCTTCCTGCCCCTGCTGGTATAAAATGGCCCAGTAAGGCCTTGAAAGCAATAAACTACTCGGGAATCAGCAAAGCAGCTCAACGAGGCTTGCAAAATAGTTATCTGAAGATATCTATTAGATAGGATGGAGTGACTTATGTTACAATACAGAAATGTTACCAAAGATTTCTAAGGCATGTAATTTTGTTGCGCTCCATCAGATTTGTACTACGTGAGACTACAGTTGAAGTTTAATGTGCTTCAAACAAACCTGTATTGACAGCATTAAGTGTCAGAGATATCAGAAAGCAAGCTTAACACACTACATTTGCGACCGCTAACGTGCTCCGAAAATTGGACTAACTTCAACAGCTAAATCAAGTTCAATCTTAACATGAATCAGTGGGAGACTCCATTTTAAGCTGGGTCATATTAGTCTGTAAATACCGCTCAGAACTAGAACAGGTTGTTCTGCTTGCAAGTGAAATGTTTTCTGCTTTTTCAGCTGTAGCATAGACCTAAAGTAAATGAATGCCCCTAAAAGCACTTATCTGAAAAACCACTAACTTAAAGTCAGCAAGAACTTACAATATTCTGGAAAACAGTAATTGCAGAAGCGTAGGCAAGACATTCAGTGCACACAAGATATGTAAGGTAGCTTATGCGAAAGACAGTAAAATCCTAAAGGCAAGAAAACGTCAGAGGAAAGATGTGCCACAATCTATTTAGATATTGAACTGCATTTAAGTCTGCAGTAAAACAGACATTTCCCACACTTAATCCAAATAAACTGTAAAGAAGTGGAAAAATTAGAGGTCCTCATGCAGATAAAAAACCGTTAATTAAAACGCACATTCTGTGCTCACAGCAGGAGTTTTGGTTTGCTTCTTTAAATAGGTTGCAAGGGAAAAGCTGGAAAGGAAGATGCACAGCAAAACATACTGTAAACAATACTATTTGCTGAAATACTTTTCAGCTTCAAGTATTTCCAGATAGTTGTAAGCTCAGCAAAAGGTTGGAAACTTTTTTTGGCCAAGCCTTTTCCTTCCACCAGCCTCCCAGCCATTCATTCAGGAGTTAAAGCTTCAAAATTAAATCTGACACAAATGTCATGTCTTTTTTTCAAGGGCATTTCCCTAACTTGAAACGCTAACGCAATTTCAAAAGTTTCAAGTTTCAAAAGGTAAAAAATAACAACCTGAAAGGCTAAATGCATTTTCTGCTTTATTCGGATCACTGCAATTCTCCTCTAGATTCCACAATCACATTCAAAACTTCACATGCTTCCTAATCAATCTGAAAATGATGCAACAGATGCTATTTTAATGGCAACAGATTCTCCAAAGCATCAAAAAAGATTAACATTTCCTCTGAATGTAGACACGTTTCTGCAAGTCAATTTTTGCTTTTACAAATGGAAAGAAAACAAATCAAATGTTCATTCACGTATTTAGGCAAGTCTTTAAATTTTACTTTCTAAAACACTGCTCAGGAATAAACTGATTATTTCTTTATATTACAGAAATTTCATGCTACTTTTTCCCAATTTGAAAATCTAAAGGACAGCTAGGAACAACTACAGTAGAATGTTTTGTAATATAAACCAGAGGTAGAATGAAAGGCAGGGAAACCTCTAATCTAATACCCTAACAAAACAGCTACTAAGATGCACTGCTACACAAGAGTCTTAAATATTCAGTTACACACACAAGTATCACTTGTATGACTTTAGAGGTAGGATGCCTTTGCTTTAGATTTCCCATCACTTAGCCTCAAAGTCGTAATCCTGTGGAGTTTAAGACAGTGAGACTCTCTGATGAAAAAGTCAAAAATAAAATGCTGACTAGAATTAAAGTACACTTCTTTAAAACAGCAACATCAATTAACTGAATCTCCTACTATACATTGTAGTGGCTTTTCCATTACTAATGTTAGGGTTTTGTTTTGGTTTAAGTTTTTTCAAGTTACATACTTGGGGGGGGGGAGGGGGAGGGCGGGCTCAGGTGGGGAAAAATCAGCAAGGCACACAACATCACCTTTTACCAGCACAAATCAATTTACCAGCACATCCGTTAATATCTCTTATCCTTTCAGCCTTAGGAAATGGATCAGTGTAGACTCTTCCCCCACCCTCTGGGTGAAATTTGTATTTTCCCTGAAAATTAAAAAAACAGACCTGAAACTTCTCTTTCGGAATGTTCCTTCGAGCTCCTTTTGCTAAAACAAGGGCTTCTTCCACTCTGCGGCTAGCTAGAAGATCCTGAATCTGTTTTTCCAAAGGTAGTGGCACCAAGATATATACACCCTTATTAGTAGCAACGATTACCTTGCCTGGACAGAGCAAACAAGTATCAGTTTACATTCTCCACAGAAGAAATACGTTACTGTAATAAGTTTTAATATTTACCACTTAAGATATAAGGACCTAAAAGCTGTTAAAGTTCCAAAACTGATCTCTGTTATCACAGTCACCTGTTACTATAGCTTACCTGTAAACTGCTGCTCAAAGAAATAGAGATAACGGGAAAAATCATTTATTTCCAGCAGATTTTTTTCCCCCACTCGCACAAAGTGACACTAACTTTCATCTCCTATGATGAATTGAGTTGTATAGGTCACCACTATAAAATTATTGCTCACATTCCAGAAAAGAGGGACTTAGAAACTGCCAGGCTATTTCTTTGGGTTTGTGTTAGGAATGGGTAAGTTGCACATTACAAGTAGTAAGACATAGTTTAAAGGACATACAGTTTGCAGCTCTCCTGGAAAAAATTGCTGTGCAGTGTATTCCACATTTAACAGTCCATAAATGAAGGCTAACCCATTCCCTTTTGAATTTCTAATACTGGAATTTTAGAAAGAAATTTAAAACAATTTTGAACATGCTAAAACTCTGACAAGCGATCCAAAGGATAAACACGTGTAGCTTTCCTTTAGTAAAATACAGCGTCAAGTTAATGGTGTTCCTCTGAAAGAAAACTATTAAATTACAGGAAAAAGCTCTAATCCCACAGACATCTCAGACAACTAAATTGTCAGTTAGAGCACATTTAATGAGCGTACGTGTTCTTAAACGCAACAGTTTTGGAAGACTGAATTTTGCCTACCAGTCTGCAGGACCCTAATCCTGAAAGCATTTACAATGAAAAGAGTTTCAACAGTTAACGTGCTTGGTAGGCATTTTCTGTTTTTAAAAAACAAGCCCCCCTCCCACACACACACACACCACGATAAGACTGTGCCTACATTAATACCAGTGGCTTTTATTCCAGAGTTTTTGATGCAAAGAAGTGTCCTTTTTAATACCTTCAAAGTCCTGTAGAATGTGACCTTCTTTAAAAGGTAGGGTTTGCTTTTGCTGCTGGTCCAGCATGCTGTGCACTGTAATGAACTCATCATCTAGAGCAACCACGTAAGGAAAGCACAAGGCTGCTCCAATCACGTTCTCCGACCAGTGCACGGGGGCACGCTGTGAAATGCCATCTACGGTTGCAAACATGCCTACAGATAAAAAAAGAAAAGAAAGAAAAAAGCCTGAGACTTGTGCTAGCTCAAGACTTGTTTTCCCAGTACTGAGCACTGGTATCACGGACTAGAAATAACAAGTCTCAAAAGAACATACACACAGGCCATAATGACAGGGAATCAAACCTTACAAGTCACTGGATCTTAAAGACCTGCTAGTTTGTTCAGTTCAAGATTTTTCTTTATCCTTTACCCATAGAGAGGGACAACACCAAAGAGTGAAAAGATAAGAAACAAATACTGAGGGATAAGCTTATCAACTTTTTTTTTTGTTAAAGAATTATGCCATGCAGTTTGAATTCACTTTAAAAAACACAAAGTATTAGTGAGAAGTACATTTAAATACTGTTCTAGTAAGAGCTGCAGACATGCACTGCCTGATCTATCTGGCAATACAGACACATTTGTTTCTTGCAGTGTCAAAAGTCTGAAGAAGGTTTTCATCTATAAACAAGTATTTATCTATATTTCTTGACTTTTGCCATAGCAAAATTTTCACAGAACGAGAGCCCACTTCCTTAAGGAAGAGTCATTTCCTGTAAGGCATTTCTCTTTTCAATCATTTGCAAAAAATCCAGAGACTATGTGTAAAGTAGAGTAAAGACTTAATTAACATCCCAATGATATCCACACTGGGTACTGTAAACAATAGAATCACTTTCAATCTAGCACATTCAGTTAACTTGTTGTTTCTCCACCACATTATCTTTCCGCTCGCCTGTCCATTCATTCCTCCCTCCAAGTGACTGCTTAATGAGTTTCACTTGCTTTTGGACTATATACCACTACTTCTATTTATAGTATTTGGTATTCCCCATTTCTGCTTCATGAGACCTTGTTAGCATCAATTCCAGATAAATTGCAGTTTGAGTTTTCAGGCATAGTTCAGAAACTCTTTGCCAACTGAGGCACACTGAAGCATCATGTTTAAAACAGAAGTTTACATTAACGCATACCACTTAACATCCATGTTCTCATTCCACTAGAAAAACCAAAAACAAACACACACACACACACACGCCCCAAAAAACCCACCTACACTACTTTGAATACTATCTTGGGTAGGAATTGGAGAGAGATACTGGAAAGAGAGCAGAATAATTGTGAACTCTAAAGGACAGAGTTGACTAAAATGTTATTCAATTTACAAAAGCTCTTCCAAATTGAGGATAATGAGGTAATGGTAGCTGGGTAAGAAGACCATCTTGGCAAAAGGAAATGAGAGGACTGAAGATTTTTACACAGCTACTGAGTAGAAAACTAAGCTTCTAGACCCTTTAGAGCAGCTCTGAAGTGATAAGCCCCTTCCCTTGACTAAGGGCACCACACACAATTCTGTTTTTGCATCTGGCTATTAGCTTAAAAAGCTGATCACTACAGTGGAAAGAGGAAATAATGCTTTATCAGCGCATCTCGTAGAAAATACTGCTTTGCCATAAAACATAATTCCAATTTGCTCTATAGCTCTTGAGACTCTTACAGATTAGAAGCAGCAGCTCATGCAAGGCAGACTGCACTACCCATTTTGATGCCTTCCAGTTGTTATTCTGTTCTACGATTCCATTTCAAAAAGTGGAAGAAAATGTTTATTAAATGCATAGTAATCAGCAGTAAACTCAGGACTGGCTATATCTGAAATATAAGTTGTTAAACTCATCTATTTATCTGACTTATTCTGTGAATATAAAAAATATAAAAAACTGAAGTTAAAAACATGTATGAGGCTTTTGGAGTCACAGAACTTTTACAGATAATTCAGAAAATGTATGGAGTGGAAGTGTATGCATAGCAAGGTATAGTATTATTCCAAGTCAGTGTCTATCTAAATCCCTCTGCCCTCAATAGCAGGGGCTTCTGTAGCAGAATGATGCATTTCTCTGTAATTGTCATGTTTATTATCCTTAGATGAGTCGGATAAGACAATCAGAAATCACAGCCTTTTTACAGCACAAGAACGTATTTGAGGGAACCAAGATGAAGTCCATTAATTTCATATAAAAGAACAAGCAAGTTATCTGAAGGTTACAAGAGTTACCCCAAACACAACCACTTTCAGCGCTAAAACAGAGATCTAAAAATTGATAGAATCATAAAAAATATCAAAGAATAATTTAGGCAGGAAGGTACTTCTGGAGATCATCTGGTCCAGTCGCCCACACTCAAAACAGACCCAATTTAGCTCAGGTAACTCAGGGCCTTGTCCAATAGAGTAGCCTATTATCACACTATAGTGTTCCCCCCATCCTAAAAAACAAACAAACAAAAAGCTTCTCAGGGAACATATCTGGAAAAGAGAAGTAAAGATAACCCTTATGATGTTCACTTGTTTAAAAAAGCAATATGAAAACTTCTAGATACCATAAAATTTAACAGCACGAGGAACACTAAAGTAGGTGAAAACAGGAAGGAAAAAATATACTGGTTACTGTCAACTACTTTGCTTTATACAGTGTCAGCAACTATGAGGAAATGCACTGCAAAACCTTCTATAAATCATTCTGTTCTGTACATGTGTGGTTCTTACAAGTTGTAAGACTCAGTTCTCCATTTGCAGTCTACACAGTCACTATGCAATTGTTCAAACCATGTGCCACTGAGAAGTTTATGCTAGAGAAACAAAGGAATAAGCTAAAATAAATATTATAATTGATTTAAATCATGCAATAGTTGAGGTTGGAAGGGACCTCTGTCCAGGCCAATATCCCCCTCCCCCTACCCTACACAAAGCAGGGTCAACTACAGCAGGTCGTTCAAGACCTTGCCCAGTCAGGCACCCTAGGTTCCAAGAATGGAGAGTCCACAATCTTTCCAGGCAACCTGCACCAGTGTTTGATCACCTTGCAGCTCAGTTTGCGCCCAGCTGCCTCTCATCCTTTCACTACAACACTACTGAGAAGAGTCAGCTTTGTCTTCTTTACTGCTTCCTAGCAGGTATTTATACACCTTGTTAAGATTGCCCAAGTCCTCTCTTATCCAGACTAAACAACCCCGGCTCTCTCAGCCTCACCTCATGAGAGATGCTGGACTTACTCCAGTATGTCTGAGTCCAGCACTGGATGCAGCCAGCACTCTAGATGTGGTCTCACCACTGCTGAGTAGAGGGAAAGGATCACTTCCCTCAACCTACTGGCAACACTCTTCCTATTGTGGCCCAAGATGCTGTTGACTTTCCTTGCCACAAGGATACATTGCTGGCTTACAGACCCCCCAGGTCCTTTTCTGTAAAGCTGCTTTCCAGATAGCTGGTCCCCAGCCTGCACTGGAGCATGGGTTATTCCTCCCTAGGTACAGGCCTTAGCATTTCCCTTTATGGAATTTGATACCTGTCAAGGTTGTGCTGCCATTCAGAGGGATCATCTGCTGTATCACCCAATCCTCCCAATTTTGTATCCCCTGCAAACTTGCTAAGGGTGCACTCTGCCCCATCATCCATGTTGTTAACGAAGATGTTGCACAGTACCGGCCCCACTATCAACCCCTGGGGGATACCACTAGTAAGCGGCCTCTAACTATACTTGAGCCACTGAACACCACCCTTTGACCCTGACAGTTCATCCAGCTGTTGATTTATCTCACTGTCCATTTACCTTGTCCATTCTTTATCTGTTTGTCTAAGAGTGTGTTACGGGAGGTAGTGCTGAAAGCCTTGCTCAAGTCCACAAACAAGCATTGCTCTCCCCTCATCCACCAAGCCCCTCATCCATTTTACTACAGAAGGCTACCAGGTTCATCAAGCATGATTTCCTCCTTCTAAATCTATGCTGATTACACCCAGTCACCTTCTTGTCCTTAGTATATTCTGAAACGACTTCCAGGAGAATTTCTTCCATCACCCTCCTGGGGACTGAGGTGAGGCTGACCAGTCTGTAATTCCCCAGATCCTTCTTGTCCTTCTCAAAGGTAGGAGTGACATTTGTTTTCTTTCAGTTCTCAGGAAACTCCCCTGATCACCACGAGCTTTTGAAGATAATCAAGAGTGGCTTCACAGTGATATTGGCCAGCTACCTCAGCACTCATGGGTGCATCCTATCAGGTCCTGTGGACTTGTCTTACGTTCCACAGATCCTCCTCCGCTGAGGGTAAGTCTTCAATGCTGCAGACTTTCCCACTGGGCTCAGGGGCACAGGATTCATGAAGATCATACGGCCCACATTCTCTAGTCTTCCTTTTGCTGCTGATACACTTGCAGAAACCCTTCTTGTCGCTTTTCAAGCCCATTGTCAGTTTCAGCTCTAGATGGGCTTTGGCTTTCCTAACCCTATCCCCACGCACTCTGACAGCATCTCTACATTCCTCCCATGTCACCTGCCCCTGTTTCTACCTCTTGCATGCTTCCTTTTTATGTTTGAGTTTCGTCAAACACTCTTTATTAATCCATGTAGGCCTCCCGTCACCTTTGCTTGTTTTCCTGCTCGTCAGGATGAGCCACTCTTGAGCTTGGAGCAGGTGACTGTTATAAGTCAGCCAGCTCTCCTGGACTCCTCTTCTCTTCAGGACCACATCCCATGGGGTTCTTCAAAGCAGATCACTGAACAGGCCAAAGTCTGTTCTCTTGAAGTCCTGTTACAGGCTTGCAGTCCTGCTATTTGCCTTGCTCCTTTCTCTTAGGATCCTGAACTCCACCATCTCATGGTCACTGCAGTCAAAGCTCCCCTGACCTTCACATCCTCACCAGTTCTTCCTTGCCTGTAAATATGGGGTTCTGCAGAACACACCTCCTTCTCAGCTCACTTGTGTTAAGAAGTTGTCACCAACGCACTCCAGAAATATCCTGGATTGCTTGTGCTCTGCTGTGTTGCCCCTCTAGGAGGTGTTAGGGTGCTTCAAGTCCCCCATGAGAACTAGGGCCTGGAAACATGAGGTGTCTCCCTGCTACCTGAAGGAGGCCTCATCTGTCTTCTTCCTAATAAGCTGGTCCGTAGCAGGCATCGACAATGTCGCCCACATTGGTCTGGCCTTTAACT